TCCTTGAAGGACGAAAGGCTGATGGACGAGCGTGGGCGCGGGGGGTCTTGCCAAGGGGAAGAGGTGTGAGCTAAAAGGAGTTTGGGGTCCTTCCCTTTGCTGAGAAACGAGCAAGTTCAGTGGATGTATAGATCAAACTGAGGAGATCTGAGGAGTATGAGCATGAAAAGTCGCTTGAAAGAGATGTGCTGAGCGTGTGCGTGGCGACGCCAACATTTTTACTATATACTGTAAAGTTATGTAAATACTGCTGACGCACAACATGCAAAAACCTTGCACCACGTTAGACTCATGGGAATGGGAACTCCTTGCTCATCCTTACTCATGTGCGTCAGGACTTTGCTCGGCAACGTTTGGGCTTAGCTGCTCCAACACCTGTTTTAATTCCAACCGCCTTCGTCAGGCAGATGATCTCCAAGGCCAACAAAGTGAAACACCACTCTGAGGCCCATTCGACCTGCAAGGGCCATACCGCGCTGATGCGAGCGAGACGAAGACGGACTGGCCAGGTTTGGTTTGAGGAGTCACCAAGTCCCGCCGAATTCGCGGGGGGCGTTTGATCCGTAGGTGTGCGTGGATTGCAACCCACACCACGACTTGGTGCAAGTGGGATACTTGGAGTCACCAATGGCCACCGAGGTGTGGGAGGCTTAGCATCGGCAAAGTAGCTTGCAACCTTCGACTGCTGACTGGTTGAGTGATGCGAGGATGAAGGAGGGCACACGGAACAAACCAGGAGCATTGGAGTATCCATCATGATCCATCCGTTCTTTTTGTCCCGAACTCCCAGATCCCTGAGACCTCCCTCCTCGGCCTCACCGGATCCTTGGGTTCTCTGAGGTTCATCCCCGTGTGGGTGGAACGAAGTGGTCAAAAGTCCGCCATGGACCGCTTGAAGGCGGGGACCCAGAACGGACGGACCACGAACGGCTCCGGGAAGCGGATGCGAACGGCTCCGGGAAGCGGATGCGAACGGCTCGGTGCAGTCCACAAGACGAACAGACGCGTTTGGAGCCGGTCAGACGCTGCAAACTAGATCTATAAGGTGATCTAAGTGCACTACAATACAATTTGTGTAGGAGTTTGGGTTTTGTATGGTTTTATATGGTTTTATGTTTCATGGCACGTCAAGTCAATAAGACTCATATGACCAAGCTAGCTGCAGACATTAACATCATTTGTTCTTGGCAAGCTAGAGTTTGAAGTGGCAACCTCTCGTTTCAGTTTGGATTGTGCATTCAGAATCCGGGAAAGGCCAGCCAGACTTGACATCCACTTACCCAGTTTCGTTCTAGCTCACCAACATGGAGGTGGGAAAAAACAACACCTTTCGCAGAGAAACGTTGTCTTACCAGTCGCCTTCTTCCACTTCCACGTTAGTTACTGTAGTTGGAGTGTAATGAAAACAAAATGTAGCTCCGCAGTTGGCTTCAGCAAGCACAACAAACCTTTCATGATCATGAGAACCCTGGGGGTGTTCTGTTCTAGTGTATATGAATATTCATATTGCTATATTAAACTACAATATAACTACATGCAATTATATTAAACATATTAAACTATGTTCACCACGTTAACATTATATGTGTATGCATAACTATTCATTGAGCCGATTGCACATGTACAGTTTTTGTGTTTCCTTTGTGTATTTCTTCAACTCCACGGTTTGCTTAGAGCTGCTGTGGCAGGTCTCCATGTCCAGCCAAGCACTCTACCGCTTTGCCGACTTGCTGATGGTTTCTCGGCACGCGGATGCGAACGTGCGATTCTGCTTAGAGCTGCAGACGGGTGCAGCTGGAATGAGGGTGGCTGGGATCCTGATCTATGATGGGGAGAAATGCCACCCCCATTCCCCACGAAGCTGCAGTTTGACGATGAGTTGTATGATGGTATGAGAACGGCTGAGCTATGATTATTTGGGCGTGTGCCCTTGACAAGAACCATCTCAAGTTCCTGCGTGTCGTTTATGATATCCCCTAGGATCCCCTAGGCCCTAGAGCGGGACTACTGCACGCATGTTTACAATCATGGGCATAGGTTTTGATGTTCGAATCTGGGACTTGCGCCTCAGTAGTAGCAGCAATTTGGTTGCTCACCTTTTTTTCAGTCGGCATCAGAGCTCGTCAAAAAGGACTTTGGGGGCCACCTCACTTCCAAACCTCTCCATGAAGCAGAAGATCAAGGGATATGATGGGTATTGAAGGTTTGTCGCTGAATGCACCAAATCAACGACCAATATCGTTCTCCTATGAGACAAGCCATTGGCTTTAAGGCTTTAAGTAAGAAGCATGTGTTGATGTATTTCATCGCCTGCCGACCGGCTGAACCCAGAAAACAACGCCCGTTGTGCTTGATCTTCCATCTTTTGATTTGTGTGAATTACATGAGGTCCACAGCACATCGACAGCTTGAATTGAATACATTCAGATCATTGAGATACGAGTTTCCGCTACTTATTATCTACTCCACGAAATGCTCTCTCGTGAAATGCAACTGCTTTGACGTTCAACGAAATGGTCCATTTATACGATTTGGTACGTGGACACAAAGTAGTTGGCATTGGCGTGTCTACCTTAAACGTTTATAGATTGCAGATGCATGCACCAGATCGGATACCCCGAAGAACTCCCTGGTAGCTTGAGGATCGCTGGTCGTCCACTCATTTTAGCGCGCGCAGCGGCCACAAGGGCATGGTGCCCCACCAAGTGGGACACCATATCCATCCATTTGGGCGTGCATGGAGACCTCCCAAAGGCCCCTGAATCACGGAAAATAGACTAAAACCATCCAAAACCCATTGGTTGGGTGGCACGACCTACGGACGTCCGTCTAAACGATCGCCCACAACCGGCCCCTCATGTCTTATGGTGGGTACTGGGGCAGTTGAAAGTATTTACTTTCAGTGCATTGTTTGATGTACAGTAAGAATGGTATGCACCGTTGGACTGAAACATGGTCGTCCACCTTTCTATGACTTAATCTCAAGCGAATGCGTATATCCGTTAAGTATTGCACGTGTTCTCCAGATACTCCAGATAAAGCACCTAATTGGGAAAAGGGTCAGGTAGTGTGTCAAAACCCTTTGGCTTGCAAATTAATTTCTAGGCTTTGTCCTAAATTGCACCGCTGTTTGAATGCTATCTCTGTCAAGGTTGGGTATGTCACACATGGATGGTTATCTTCCAATCTCAATGGATGATCTGTTGAACATGGGTGTCACTTCGAGTCACTCCTGTTAAAATGCGCACCCATATCCTGACGGATATATATATATATACTAGGGGCCAATGACATAGGGCTTGTGAAACTATAGTCGAAGTAGCAGAAGCCTATGTCATGTGGAAAGGTACTACATGCCACAAACCCTATGTCATGAGGCCAAACGTGCGAAAAGGGCCCTGGCATGAACAATTATGTTGTCTCATGTTTTTTAAAATTTCTGGATTTCAAGAGGTTTTGGACATTAAACCACATATGACATAGGACTATGTCAGCCAAATAGCATGTGGCAAGTCGTAGATGACATAAAACAAACAAGGCGCGTGACTAAGTCATTGAGCATTTCCTGGTCATGTATTCACCTTGGGCGGGTACTTTCTTTAAGGTTTTTTAAAGGTAAACTTGCTGGCACAATGCCCACACACCCTATGTCATCCTTCAGTTTGGTGCGTTCACCTAGTTTGCTACTGGCTGATGACTTAGGACTACCCCCAGGGACATTCCTATGTCATAATTTGAGCATATTCCTATGTCATCAGCCCCTAGTATATATATATAATATTTATAACACTTACACTCCACTTCCCTGGTTCGGTGGGATCACCGCACTTTTTGACCTAGAAGTTGAACTCGTCGAACTCCAGGCTGTGTCGAGCATTTTCTCCGTGCCCTGCCGAGAGCTGAGATATGCGGTGACAGGGGACCTGGTGTTGGAGCCAGCGACCGGTGTTTTTCATGCTAGCAACAAGAAGCTACTAGTAGCTCCTGGCCTTACTAGTAACAAGAAGCTACTAGGAACAAAGGGCCTTACTACTAGTAACAAGAAGCTACTAGTAGCTCCTGGCCTTACTAGCAACAAGAAGCTACTAGGAACAAAGGGCCTTACTACTAGTAACAAGAAGCTACTAGTAGCTCCTGGCCTTACTAGTAACAAGAAGCTACTAGGAACAAAGGGCCTTACTACTAGTAACAAGAAGCTACAAGGAACAAAGGGCCTTACTACTAGTAACAAGAAGCTACTAGCAGCTCCTGGCCTTACTACTATAAGAAGAAGCTACAAGGAACAAAGGGCCTTACTACTAGGAGCAAGAAGCTACTAGGGGCTCCTGGCCTTACTACGAGTAACAAGAAGCCGCTAGTAGCTCCTGGCATTCCACTAGGAACAAGAAGCTCCTATGTTCCTATAGGAACAAATGGCATCGCTACTCGTAACAAGGTGTGACCTCTCCAAGGTAGCTCTGTTCACCCTCAAGCTACTTCTTTGCTTCTTGTTACTACTAGCGATGCACTGTGACCTCTCCAAGGTCACCGTCAAGTGCACATCTTTGAAGAAGATACGCAGACCGTGGCCTTCAATAGCGGGGCGCTCTTCTTTAACTTGCGGTTCTTCACCGAGGACCGGGAGAGCGAAGGCGACGGCAGACGGATTTCGTGGCTGGTGTCAGTTTCCCAGGTCGGAAGGGGACCCAAGACCTGTTTACAAACGCATGCACCACTGGATTCTATGAACATTTGTGGAGAATGATCAGCCAGAGCATGGACTGAGCTAGCTTTACCATGGGCACATGCATTGGGCCATCATCTTCCACAGAGAAATGCACATCCTCACAAAGCAACAGTTGGGGATTGCACCACCAGTACGTTGGAAGAAGTTATCAATTATAGGACCGCCCAAGGTGGAGCCAGACTTGGCAACCCGTTGCTTTCGCTCTTTTGGCTTCGGCTATCGCAGCAACGCCGAAAACGGATGTCGTGCCATTGATTGCCATTGATTCTGCAGCATGCGACTCAGCGTGTTCGCGCCTCGGCGGCATTTCACTCCAGTGACCAGCTGCACTGTGATGCAGACCTCGGGTTTCGATTGTAAGAGCCTCTCTGGCCTTTCTATGGAGAACAAGTCTCAGAAGATGATTTCTACATATAAGAGGGCTAGGAACCTCCTATGCAGACGGAATAGGTACTCCGACTCTTGCTTTCCAAAATGCTTGAAAATTGCTTGAAATCATTTCAAATCGCGAGTCTTTTTTGCATTGGGATTAGCTGGTCGCCAATTTGGTCGCCCTCTGTGTGCTTTGCGCATCACTGTTCGCATCCTACTCGAGGTGGCCCTCACACCTGCGGTGCTGGGATACCACAGTGAGCTGCTGCTTCGGAGTGAGGCATCTGGTTTGGGAGATTTGACATGGCTTTAGGTATATACACAGCTCAGGAGCTTGGGAGGAGTAGATCACGAGGAGTAGATCCGATTTCTTCCTATTTAAAGTTGTTGGGATTGTTTAGTCAGAAGGCATGAGCTGACTGACCGATGCATCAACATCTTCATCTTGAACATCTATACCGGACCGTTGCATGAAGACGAGATTTTGGTTCAAAGGTTTGCACTTACGGAGGGGCAAGGCAGGTATTGATGTGCCAGAGACTTGTTTTCTTGGCCTTCCCTGCTCAAGGCCTCGGTTTTTTTCATTAAATTGCTGAAACAGGTAGTGGTTTTGGGGCAGCTGAGTTTCCCAGTTCCTTGCCTGGGCTTCCTGAAGACTTGTATAAGTGCAGTGATAGACACCGACCAGTCCAGAGTGACAGCCCAAACAAAGATTACATAGAGATTCCAGTCATTTGTTCTTGAAACAGCCGTGGCTTGCTGCGAATCAGGCCCTCACAGGCCTCGTTGTTCGGCCGGTCTTGCCCAGGCGGAGGAGCTCGGGGTGGTTTGGCGCGGCAACGCCACGCTGCACTCCAGCCACGACGCGTTGCCGGCCGCAGTCAGTCGCCGCTCAGAGCTGCTGACAAGAGAGGAGGAGATTTACTGGAGCGGGGAGCGGGCAGTGAAGTGAAGGAGCTGGGAGGGAGGAAGTGTGATCTCCAAGTTTGCCGCTCCTTTTTCCGCCATGCTCTCCAGGCGGAGGCATTGGGGGTGATTTGGCGTGGCAATGCAACAGCGCAGTCCAGCCACGAGCAGCTGCCAGAGCCAAATGGCGGATATCCTGATGACTTTTCCTGGTGCAACAAGGCGCCAGCGCCAAGCCAATTCATTGGGAAGTGGTGGCATAATATATATATATATATATTTGAGGCATGCCTTTGAGTGGGGCAAGGCATACAACACCGGTAGTTGTAGGATGTGCGGTGTACACTACTAGGCAACTAGTCTTTCGCAATTCCAATCGTTGATATATACTACTTGCCAAGATATAGCACATGTTTGGGTCGCCTTGTCACAGTTGTGGAACACATGTAGCCATCCTCTTGCAAGTGTGCTACAGCAGAAGTGCAGCAGCATGAGCATCACATACAATATAGGAGTGATGTGTGTGTGATTGTATATATATATATATGTATGTATATGATGTGCATGGCACATGATTTTCAGCATGTCCACAAGCAAGCATAGGCAAGCCAGCAAGAAGCGTTGCAAAGCGTTGCCTCGCTCAAGAGGACGGTGTCAACTATTGCACGATCTCACTGAATCAGCATATTCCACAGCACCTGGGCCAGACCCGTGGGGGTCATTGATGGGCAGATGATCAGATGGGTGAGGATGCCAGTTCCTTGTGCCATTCCCGAAACACTGGCTTTCAGTGGTTTAGGGCTTGGGGAGTTCTCGTTGTTCTCAGACTACTGTACCCAACATAGTGCTGTTCGGTGCTATTATATAAACTATTTGCAACTGAGAGTTGCAATAGAACCTTAGAGTATCACCAGCAGATACAACTGCAGCATTCACCAAAAACAGTGGCTTGCACCGTTGGGCTATGTATATATATATATTAGTATTCCTGAATTCTTCCCCAAAAGTCTCCTTGATGGCGGATTGTGAAGGAGCCCGTACTTTCACTTCACTGAAGAAGCGATCCAGACCTCCAATCGAGCCCCTTTAAGGTGGTTGACTTTGTTTTAGCTTCATTAATGCTGTGTGAGTGTGTGAGGGAAATTTTTCATGAGTCACTCCGTCAAAGTTCTTGCATAGAAAGCAGACATACTTACTACTGTGATTATCATATTACTTATTGCTTTGCCCTTTAGGCTTTGATTTCGCAGCCCTTGGGAAAAACACCTTGCACTACATGTGAATCATAAATCAGGTATGAAAATCAGTCATGAATCGACATCATGGCCAATGGCCTTCACGTTGGTTCTCAACATGAGATGCCAAAGGTGAGTGATGGTCTATACTCTTTGCTCCGTGGCAAGAGTATGCTGTACCAACGTTGTCTCTCACAGTTCTTGCAGTACCTTTGGGTAGCTCGTTTGCTTTTGTTCCTTTTTGTTCCTGGGCATGTGAACCAACAAATATGTGTTTGTTGCTTAGGCGTTTGTTTTTGTTTTGTGTTTGTGTTTGTTTTTTTTTTGTTGTTGTTGTTGTTGTTGTTGTTGTGTTTCTTTTGATGCTCGACATATGCATCAAATCGCTTTACTTTGAGTGATCTCCACCCTGGGAGGCGATTTGGAAGAAGGCGGTGCACATATATTGACAGACTATCCTGAGGGCTAACTGCCTGACACTTCCGCTGACACAATGTTCTAACATTTGTCTTGATCAATTCTGGCATGTGTTCTTACATCCTTTCAAGCGTGTGTTTTGGCATTTGTTCTGCCGTCATGTGTTCTGACACATCATTTGGCATGTACTTTTGACATGTGCTCTCACATTAAAATAAATCTGGCATAGCTGGCATATTTTGGGAAATGTGCTTTGACATTTGTTTTGGCATGTGCTCTGACAGCTGTCCTGCCATCAAACCTGCCACTGGTTCCATATTTTGATGCCATGCTGGCAGGTAAAATGGCATCATTAATGCATTGATTTTGTGGCATCATGTTTGACAAGTGCGGAAAGACTATGACTTTTGGTTCTTGTGTTTTTCGTTGCTTCTTGTTGCAGGGCTATCGCTTTTTGCTGTTGTTCCCACCCGCCAGTGGAAACAGATGGAAACAGGTCATTGTTACGAAAGCCAGCCGTCGGCTAGGCTGAAGATCTGAATAGCGAACAAAGTGAGTATTTGGGGGTCTGGGGGGAGGGGCGTTGCAAAATGGATAGTTTTGGAAGGTCAAAAATCAGAATTTATTGGGGAAAACCGGCCAAAAGTGGGTGGACAAAAATTGAGGCAAGTTGTAAGTTTTGAGGAGGTTGTGGATGCAAGTGATGCAATTAGAGGGGGGCTGTCATGATGTAAAGGATGCAATGGCATGGGTCATGGGTAGCAAGAAGAAGAAGAAGAAGAAATGTAAAAGAACGAGGAAGAGGGAAAGAAGGTAGAAGAAGGGTCATGTAAGATGCAGGAAAGTCCGGTACTGGAATTGACACGTTGTGAGTGTTTGCTGCTTTCTCGTATCTACATTTAGCTTTAGAGGAGGCGGCAGGAATAGGCAAGAAGAAGGAAAAGACAGGAAGAAGGGGAAAAGAACGAAAAAGAAGGAAAGAAGCAGGAAGAAGGGTCCACTGGCCGTTTGGCCAACGATTTCATCAGGGATGCAGCCTCGTCAACTCATGCATCCATAGTGCAAGCCGGTCGCTGCCGAGTGAAGCTGGGACAGAGCGGCAATGACATGCCTCGACCAAGATGTTCGTTCATCATGAAGCATAATACAATTTGTACTGGCCAATGGCACGTTTAATTTAAGTCAAGGTGCACACATGCAGTAGAACAGAGCAGCGGAACACCAAAAATGCGCTCACCCAAAGACCTTCGCGTGCGAATTCACTGTCAGTCCTGACGTAGCTCGCCGCCACATCTGCAGCGAGTGTGAAAATGCGATGACGCTACAGGTCCCGTCACACATATGCTGGGGGGGTCTGGCTTTCGTCCCCTCCCTTCTCAGGTTTAAATTTTCAATCCGCCAATTCTTTTGCACCCAGTGCTTTGGGTTCAGACCACATCCGGAACCTAACATTTGTGCCTTTGTTGCATGGCCCGTGCTGGATTTGAATGACTCTGGATGAGTCCATTCCGAAACCCGTCAGCAATGAACCAAACAACCGTGTTGTGATTTGACAAAGCCCTTTGCTTATCGTGACCTTAAATTAGCCAAAGAAGTGAATCCAGGGTCCGGGCATCAGGAACGGAGAGAATGCTTGCATGAGGATCGACAAGAAGCATTCCTCAACAAACAGCCGCACCCAGAAGACCCTTCAACCGCACCATTGACGGGAGTACTGCAGGTTGGTCGCCCAAACTGCTGTAACGTGCAGCGGATGCAGATGGTGTGATATTTAAACCAGAGCCAACACAGGACACTTATATGAATAACGGCGGAATGCGAGCACCTTTTGCCCAGTAGGGTTTTGCTGTTTGGATTTTAGGGATGTTGTCATGTTTTGTTCGGTATGTTGTTTTCAGATGTTGTTTTTGCTGTTTTTTGCTGTTGCGTTGTTGCTGTGTTTTTTCTTTTGCTGCTTTTCTGTTTTTGCTGCTGTCCTGCTTTTGCAGTGTTTCAGTTTTTCTATTTTTGCTGTTTTTTGCTGCTGTTGTGTATTATGTTGTTGTTTTTTGTTTTCTTTGTGTTTGCTTTTGCCGATCTATTTGCGTTGCTTCTACTTTTGTTTTTTGTTGCTTTTGCCGCGTGAATTTTGTAGTTTACCTTGGCTTTGCATTCTTCGAGAAAACACTCGGTTCGTTTGCTTTTTGTTGCTTTGGCTGCGTTGCGTTGCTGTGTTTTGCTTTTGTTGCTTCTAGTTGTTGTTGTTGTTGTTGTTACTGTGCTGCATTTGTTGCTGTTCGGCCTACTGTGTGGTGCACTCACTACTGCGCAACTTGCACACACTCATGTTTCATAGTATGCATATATATAATATACATTTTTATAGTTGTTAACGATTCATTTACTCAAACACATGTTGGACAGAGAAGCTCCAATACGCTTTGCGAATATGTATGTCATGGTTGTTTTGCAGTGTTGGTGGGAAAGGACATTGAAGTACAGCACTGCTTACATGCCAACGGCTAGGTGAGAGCGAGAAACCATTCCAAGGTAGCTGACCTTTTTGCGAGCCACCCGAGGGCAAAATTTAGAGGCACCTCATAGCAGACCTTTTGTGAGCCACCCGATTTCAATGTAGCAGCATGCCTGTGTGCGCAAGTGAGTCGCAGCGTGGGCAAGTGATTCATGCGTGCGCAAGTGATGTTTTGGACATGGTTTCTTCATAATCAAGTAGGCGGGGGTGCACTGCAGACATGGCTTGCGCAAGTGAAGTGAATTTAGCGTGTGCAAGTGAGTTGCGAGCCAACCCCAACATTGAGAGGAACCAATGACACAAGCAGCCGCACAAAAATTATCCAGCCACGCCCTCTTTCCCCAAACTCCCGCCAGCGCGACGCAGCGCCACGAAAACAGTCTTTTTAAAGGCAACCACGCTCCACAGCACCGGCCACAAATGCGAAATCTGCACGATTTCTTTGCACATTGCTTGCTACGTTGAAAGCTGTTTCTCTCAAGTGTCAGCCCTGCTGCCAAACTTGTTCCTTTTAACGCTCAGCCACTCACTCCGCCTTGTGTCCGCAAAACTAGTTCCTTTTCAAGGACGATGGTTGCTGCAAAAAGCAGTGAATTGCTGGCCCCAAGGAATTTAATAGATGTCAGGAAACGGGAATAAAACATATCGAAGTAGACGTGCAACCAAAATGACGTTGTTTTTACAACAAGGCGAGTACAAGCAGCGCGCAAGGCCGCGCAAGCCAGCACGCACCACTTCAGCATCATGACCGGTGGGGTCATTAGCAAAGCACATCATGCCATCATGACTTCGAAGAGTTCAGCGACTGACATCGCCAAGCAATGTTTTTCCGAAGTGGGCACTGGACACACGCATGTTGGCATTGCACGGGCAATCCGCCCCCCGTACAAATCCCTACGGACCGACTCCAAGCGCGACTCGGTTGGCCCAGGGTTCATGCGAATTCACAGAATTCACGACACAGCAGGTACTTTCACATATGGTGACCACCCGCACTCACATCCTCACCAAGAGGTATCCCACGGCTGAACAGCACCATGCCCCACCAGAGCCATAACGGCTTACGGTACGCGGCCAGCCGGCGGTCGTGGCAGACAGAACATTCAGGTATTGTGGCTCATGTTGGGCTCACGGATCAGCCTCAGCCCTGGCAGACCGCATCAAGATTGCGCGCAAAGCCCAAGGCACATCCAGCTGGGGCTGGCTGGCTGGTCCTGACTGGCCTCACCCTATCTCACCAGATCAGTTGAGCTAATAGATTCAATGCGATTTGTTTGTTTGGTTGTATACAGTAAGTTCTTTTTTGCGCCTCAAAACAATCCGTGTTGGTTGAAATTATTCAGTCAATTCTAGAGCAACCTCCATAGAGAAACCCCCTTTTGTTGCACAGTGCATACAGGTTTCCACCTGCAAAACGCCTCGTTGGAATTTGGGTTTCCAAAGCCTTCAGTTTAGTTTTAGGGGTTTTACTCTTGTGCTGTTTTCAACACATTAAATTTCCTGCATCCTGGTCTGAGGTGTGACTTTAGGTGCGACAAACTTGGCACCACTTCAACAAGCTGCATGTCGCACAAGGCAGAAAAAATCAAACTGTTTGGGCACAACCCAAATGTTCTGTGCCCTCATACTGCAGGTGCAGACGTTCAACTTTCCGTTCAGCACATGCTCAACTGTGGACGAGTGGGATCTTGCCACGGCGGCACAGTGGATGGGCCTTACCAATGGATCTATAGGCTCAGCTGCTTCGTTAGCACTGGTTGCCTTTGAAACCTGAAGGTAAACCTGCAAACCTGAACCCCTGCAGTCCGTGGTTGAAATTCCATCAATTTGGCCTCATGCGACTCGCAAGCGCCCCCCTCACCCAGGTCACCAGACCGGATCCGGCATCAGCTACTTCACGTCCCAGCCATACTTGGCATGTTCCAGCGAAAGAACCCTGGCATATGTTGGTTGTTTTGTTCCTATGTGTTTCCACTATTTGTCCCTTTAGTTTGTCTTGTTTGTTTTTTCAATCCCATGTTTTTGTTCACAAGTCCTTCTAGGTCCCTTAGCTGTAGCTGGCCAAGGTAAGGCCGGCATTTGTGCCCATGTGGATACCAGCTGCAAGGCCGAAAACATCGCCAGGACCCGAACGCGGAACGCGGAACGGCACCGGCACCAACAGTCTGAAGAAGCCTGAAGGGTCTGAAGACTTGGGCCATGCCTGGAGTTGTCAGGCGTCACCTGACAGAGGCGTGCTACAACGGATGATAAGTGCATGCACGAAAGCATGACTGCCGTACTAACATCATAAAGACCAAGTGATGGGAACGCCACCGCTGGCACCACTGGGGAACGTCACCGCCCTCAGCAGGTCAGGACAACCATTTTGACTTCGCATCCAGACGTCCTCCACGGACGGATTCTTCTGGGTGCACCCAAGCACATCCAAGAACTTGCAATTATGGAGCTCTTGAAGCTCTTGGCTGACATGTCTCAAGTCTCCCTATTGTCGAGTCATGCTCAGTGATGTTACCAGGACTTGCAGCACCTTTGGTCAGCCCTGCGTGGGCCTGGACACCTATCCCAATGCAACCGTCTCGGATTTCGGCTCCATCCGCGGGAAGGCCAGGTGCCCGGCGGGAAGGTCCTTAAGTAACGCACCTCACACCTCTAATTGGTAAGAATATCGTGAAGAGGTGCGAGAAAAAAACGCCTTTCTTTTCCAGGAGTTTCGATACGTGCTTTAAAATATATGAAAAACTATTTTCCTTAGTTGGTACCACTTGGTCCGGGGAAAGCAACACATTGTTGTCCAATGGAACTGGAAGGACGCCCAATGCGATGCTTGCGCTTCCGGTAGTGCCTCTGGTGTTAACTGGTGGCAAGGGCTTGGTGTATCGCTGTTGTTCAGTCAGTCGTTCTTAAGATGTTGCCCATTGGTGCCAACTTGTTTGGCAGATCATTTCCATTTGTTTTCAGGCCGCGATGATGAAGGAGATCTACAATCGTGGCCCCATCTCTTGTGGCATCGATGCGATGCCTTTGCTCAAGTACACCACCGGCATCGCCAGTGGCTTCCGCTTGCTACCGGACCATGTTGTCTCTGTGGTTGGATGGGGAACTGATCCCAACGAAGGCGCTGCTTTGGGAGGGAGCGGATCAATTGAATTGGGAAGAGTAGGCAGTAGGCGTTGCAGACAATAGGTCGTCACAATTGAATTTGCAAGATTCAACGATGGATATTAAAAAAATATCAAGAAAGAGATATATATATATAACTATATATATTTATATATATATTTAGACTAGAGGTCAAGAGAGATCTAGCTGGATAAAGGAGAGATCTAGCTGGAGGTGCCAAATCCGACCGTCCTTTTGAGCATGGAAACATCCATCGTCCAGTTGGTCACGTTTGGATATCCAACTGGACATTCTCATGCTTTCAATCATGCCTTAGCCGCCATTGTCGGCCTACCTTCAGGCAGGTGCTTGACCAGGCCTTCTATAGGGGAAAAGTTGCGACTTGCATCCACAACCTTTCCGGCCTCGTTCCGCTTTGGATCCGCTCCACACGTCCCCGCTCCACGGAGGTTTCTACTGGATCGTGCGAAACTCCTGGGGCGAATACTGGGGGGAGCAGGGCTACGTGCGCGTGAAGAGCGGCGCGCTGGCTCTCGAGCGGCAGTGTGCGTGGGCAGTGCCTGGCGAGCCTATCGGCCGAATCGGGCGGAATGGGTTGGGGTGGGTGACACGCGAAGCACTCAACTGGTTCTTGTAACCCATTGAGATTCAAAATGACACCGGTTGGCATGAAAAGAAGGTGTTGGAGAATGCGCCTTTTGAACCATGTTCCTTCCAAGAAGTCGTGTCAGCGTCCCTCGCAGATCGCTTTAAACGATCAGGTCAGGTGTTCTCACCCAACTTCCTGTGGGTGGCAGTTTTTGCATCTAATTGTGCGCGCGACCACACTTGGATTGGGTTGTGGATGGCAATGTTGCACCAGTTGTTCTAAACTTGTGAGGTACACCGCGCCAGAGAAGAACAACGAGATTCATTGCTATGAAGGTGGTGAGAACTGCCAAAGCAAGCAAGGCTTGGGTTTAGAACTTTTTTTGGCCCGTGTCCACCAGTCCTTGTTTGTTTTTAATATTTTTTAGTACAACTTTGACCCAGGCCGTCAACGCATAGATATGTTTTTCCAGCCACAGTGCCCTGGCCAATTGCTGCGAAAAAATAAACTAAACTCAAAAATAGGGCTGCTCGCTTTTTTCCAAACAAGGTCTCGGCAAATTTCAAAAATTCTGGACTTGGTGCCGTGCGGTCTAAGCCACTGTGGTGTCCAGCACGTTTTGTTCTTGATCTCGAAAGGTTGATCCATTTGCAAATGAGTGAAGGTGTCACGGCCTTAGTTCCTGGGCAGTTGGTTCATGGCCATTTTACCGGACCGCCAGGCGCAGCGGACACTCTTCGAGCGAAGGAGCTTTGGAGCCGTGCGGAGGTTGAGAGTTCCTGGGCCCTGAGGGCTTGTGAGGGGTCGAAGGTTCTTGGTTCTGAGGGCTCCAAGGGTAGTGGGAGTTCTCCCACCAACATTGGGACCGGGTGGCGAGAATCTCAAGGTATTGAATTCTATACTGCCAGTGGTTTGACTCGGACGTTTGGCAAGAACTTCCCAAGAAGTCCCACTCTGAAACCGCCACTGATTGGATACAAAGCTGCAACATTGAAAGCGGTTCACGTGCCCACGCAGAATCATTAGAACGAGAGCTGGGGATAGACCCGGATTTGGGAGACTGCACAGTGCAGCTCCTTCACCCAGCTTTGCCATGCTTTTCCTCACTTTCACCCATGCTTTTTATTATATACCACCATTAGTGTGTCGGCCCTGTTTTTTTGGAAGAAGACTGCGAATCACCCAACCACCGCCCACGGATCGCCGCTGACTGAAAACCCCAGCCACCGGGCTCCCACCGATAGGACGACGGTGCGTTCTTCACTCGCCCAGGCCATGGCTTCGTTTGGAGAGGCAACTCATCGTCACCATCATCGCACGAGTTTCTCGGTGGTGAGAGTCACACCCGTCTTCTTAATAATCATGGACATGGAAAACCAGTGGTTTGGAGAGAACAATGCTAGTCCACCCGTTAAAGTGTAGAGCTGACCTCCAATGGAAAGTCGGCAGAATGGTGAACCCTAACAGAAAACGGAGCGGCGCTGGGTCTTTTGGGGGGGTTGGGAGGTGCGCGATTCCGATGCCTGGCATTCCGGAGGCGTCTAGAGTCTAGCCGCCGGAACAGTCGAAAGCCAGCCAAGTTTGCCCGTTCAAAGATATTTTGGATCCGTTCCTTCCTGTATGGGGACTAGTTGGAGAAGAGAACAAATATCCTCAAAGGCACCTGAGGTCAAGACAGAAACTTCTCGGTCCCAAAACAGCGAACATGCTTGGCTTGCTGAAGTATGCATGGCAGTTACCTCTTTCCAGTAAGCAACATGTTCACCTTCAAAAGGAGTGTAAACTTTAAACAGATAGTTGGGGTGGCGGGTAGCATAAAATGTCATAACTCATAACATGTCATGTTTGGGGCGTGTCACCCCGTACAACGAACGGCTCTTGAATATTCATGCTGTGTCCTGGCCCCTGCTCGCCATCATTGTTCCACTTGATTCACGGGCCTCGGGACCCTGCAATGGTCGCCGAATGATCATGATCATGGTGGGGGGGAAGTCCCACGCACTCTCCCTCTCCCTATGTCATTGTATGCTTATGTATGCTTATTTGCCTATGTATCATCCGAAGTGGTTTGCAGCTGGCTTTTCCATGCCTGAGGCTTTTAGAAACTCCCAACGATGGCTTTCCAAAGGCATTCTCCTGGTGCAAGAAGGCAGGTTCCCTCCTGAGACAAGGGAATATATGTCATGCATTTCTGAGGGGCCGAAGCCAAAGGTGTTGTGAGTGTCAGGTGATCATAGAGCCACTGTGACCTGCTGCATCTCCTGTATAATGTATTATTTGTTTTGCTCGGTGTCCCAAGATGTGAGCTGGGCTGCTACATGTCGTTGATTCGCGCAGAGCAAGTCAGCGCCGCACCGGGTTTGAGTTGTCCATTTCCAGGATGGCAAGAGCTATTGCACCATCTCCGTGAATCAGCACATCCCACAGCGACTGGGAAGAAGGAACTCGAAAGTGGGAACTCTTGGATCGTATCCTGAGGATTGCTTTTTGGGGGGTAACCCCCCGATAGATGCACAAACAATTACACAAATATGAACTTATTAATATACATACATATGACAGCATCCGAAAAAAATTGTTGGAGTATTAAATATTTAAGAGGCCGCCTTGTGCTTTTGAGTGGTGAAGAAATCCTTGGCATCCGATACGGATACCCCTACACCTACCAAGATTTTTTAGGTTAGCATTGGTACTTTGATGGCTGTGCATTGGAATCCAAGGTGCTTTTCAATAGGGGCAGTTCTGAACCTGATTGTGTTATATAGTAAGGCTTAGTAAGGGCTATCACACCATTGTCAAGTGAGTCTGCCGAGCTGAAAACAAATGTATTGCCTTGAGTCTCTGGAAGTTTGTGCATTGTGAGGGAGCTCTCACCGACAGCTCAACCGATACTAATCGATACCCTTTTTTGCAGGTTTACATGCTTTGGTGCCCCTTGTCCCCTTTGATCATTGCGGGTGCCCACGCAGGTCTCTCATGTTTATACAGCTTGCCAGAAGCTGAGAAGCAGATGTGGATACAAGGCCAACCAACAAGACTGAAAACGCAGCAGGCACCAGTTCAACAAACATGCACACACACTGCAGAGAGCACAGCAAGAACGTTTGCAAGCACACCAAGCCACAGCCCTGCTGTTTGCTTCCAAAGCCTCTCACATGGTACTGATATAGCTTCAGGCCCCGAACTGGAAACACAACCACACAGTAATCAAAGTGCAACATGGACATGGACAACCAATACTTCACAAATGACACCATCATTACATTACACTTCAAATGCCCAAATCCTCACAAACGATAGGGGACGACCCAGTTTAGCATATGGCATATTGGATGAACAAATAATTTTGTCCGCACCTCATATATATATATATATGGTTTAAAAAAATGCGCAGATGCCACTTGGCATTTGAGGCCAGAGCCCTCAGACCAAATCTCAAACACGGCACGTGCGAACAAAGGCGTGTTGTTTTTGTCCGCACTCTCCGTATTTGTTTTGAATGGTGTGTACCCCCTTCAGCACTCAGCACCTTTCAATAGGCTTCTCTCGAAGTGGGGAACGTTCCAAGCACATCAGCCCTGTGCTTGTCACGAAAGGTAGCAGTTACGCTACCTGAGTTGTCTTTGCTTTTGCAATAATGTATTGGGGGTGGTGAAGTGGTCCGGTGCTTGATTTCGGTCGTTTAAGAGTTGGTTTTAAATGTCGGGGGCCTCCCCCCCATTCGACTCCACCCGGCGCCCCGGAGAATTTGGTAGTGATCTGAGCAGAAGCAAGCAGCCAGCAGCAGCAGCAAACCAGCAAAGCAGCAGCAGCAAAGCAAAAAGGTAGCACCAGCACCAGCAGCAGCAAACGAGCAGCAGCAGTGGCACCAGTGGCAGCAGCAAGGACTGCAAAAGCAGCAGCAGCAGCAAAGCACCAAAGCTCACACAAGTTTGGCCTCCACAACCCTTGGTTTTCGTTCAGTTTTTTGGGGGTTGCGCAGACGAAATTGAAAGAGGGGGGGGGCAGCAAAGCAGCAGCAGCCTTCAGGATTCAAGCAACAGCAGCAACCAGCAAGAAGTAGCAGCAGCAACAGCAACAGCCAAACAGCAGCAGCAACCAGCAGGAGCAGCAACCAGCAGGAGCAGCAGCAGCAACCAGCAGGAGCAGCAGCAGCAGCAACCAGCAGGAGCAGCAACCAGCAGGAGCAGCAACCAGCAGCAGCAGCAACCAGCAGCAGCAGCAACCAGCAGCAGCAGCAACCAGCAGCAGCAGCAGCAGCAGCGGCAGCAGCAGCAGCAACCAGCAGCAGCGGCGGCAGCGGCAGCGGCAGCGGCAGCAGTGGCGGCGGCAGCAGCAGCAGCAGCAACAGCAAAGCAGCGGTTGCAGCGCAAAGCAGAAAGCAGCAGCAGTGGCACCAGTGGCAGCAGCAACGACTAAGAAATGAGCAGCAGCAGCAGCAGCAGCAGCCGCAGACATGCTACCTTTCGTCCACCCCCATCTCCTCAAGTGCACAGATTTCATCATCAGCGTATATAGCATGGGTGGTTCCTTTCTTTCCCCGTTGTCACGCTATGGATCCGTCTAGCGTAAAGAACCATAGATCCAAAAGGAGGAACGTGTCTTTGAACTCCGCTGTCAGTGGTTGAGGCAGCCATCGAGGTAAGTTACACTTGGCGCTAGTGGAGAAGTGTTGTTTTATGATGAAGAATGGCCTCCGCCGGTGGCATGGGTTCTTTTTGGAGTGCATGTGCACAGTTGGTAAAGTTCTGTCGTGCGTGTTTGCTGGTGGTCTCTTTGCATTCCCCGCAATAAGAAAAGACCACCCTAAACAAATGCCTCAGGTGACATTCAAAGGGGAAACCAATCACTAAAAAGCTACTGTATCTAAATTACTTTACTTCGAGTGACCCCCACCATGACATTTCAATCTGACAAATATTGAAGCATTATTTTTGGCATACTTTCTGGCATATCTTCTGACATTCGTTCTGTCCGTTTTTCTGGCATCTTTTCTGACCTTCCTCCTGGCATATCTTCTGACCTTTTTCATTTGACATTCTTTCCGGCACTATTTCCGGCATATCTTCTGGCATTCTGTCTGTCATCTCTCCTGGCATGCTTTCTGGCATATCTTCTGGCATTCTATTTGGCATATCTTCCGGCACTCTTTCTGACATTTCTTCTGACACCTCATTCTGGCACAGTCTTTTTTCCGCTCACTTCCAATGCACTCTGTGCTAGGTTCTCCAGGCCAAACTTCTCAGCACCAGGCGTGCCAACAAGAGGCTAGTGGCTTAAGCGGCTGCATAGTTCTGCGTCCAGCAGGGACTCCGACAGGAGCAAGCTCATGGGACAAGGCTGCGGCCACAATCACATTCTGCCATGGGGCACATGACCTCAGAAACTCGCTTGACGAGAGCCCTGGCCTCCGGTTGGTCTCCAGGCCGCCCCGGAATCCGTTTCAAGCATGCCTTGCTGAGCACGGTGGTTGGTTTCCACTCTTCGCAGGACTGAAGCACACAAAGCACACCTCCGTTTGCTACTATATTTGAATAGTCTGTGTGTCGGGTGAACCCCCGCGACCGTAAAATCACCAACCGCAATGCACGTGCTGCCCTGAACAAATGCACCAAGACATGCTCAATGCACGTGCTGCGCGAGCCTGGAGACGAAAGCAACTCGGCCCTTAGGCATAGCCTCCCACTTTGGCCCTTGGATGGTTTTCTCAACTGTGGCAGGTTCAAGCGGCCGGTCCGTTGACTCGCCTGCGGCTGCTGGTTGGCCAAGAACCGCGAACGTTGATGCGAGCGCTGCAGTGTGAGCACTGCACACCAAGCTAATGCTGCCTCCAGACGTGCCCAGCTGCTGCATACCCTCACCCTGATTTTTTGAAGAAGCTCTGCTTACTAAGTCCCTGAGGCCCCCGCCCTTTGCTGGCACTCTCTCTCTCTCTCTCTACTCTTCCTGGCATATCTTCAGACATTCTTTCTGGCATCTCTTTTGTCACTCATTCTGGCGTAACTTCTGGCATTCTTTCTGGCGTTCTATCTGGCATATCTTCTGACTCGCGGTGAGGTCCGGCGGGGAACACTGCCATCCGGAGCTGGCGGTTGAGGTCCGGAGGAGGAGGAGAAGAAGGAGGAGGATGGCAGCTGACAAAGCATCTGACAACCCTGACCTGACAGGTGGGGATTTCCAGTTAAGCCACAATTCGGGGCTTTAGGCTTGAGTGCATGTTTGTTTCTTGGGTAGCAGGGGGTAATCCCAGGCTAAATTGTTCTTCATGCTCACGCTGCAATGCTGCGTGATTGGTCTCACATGGAATAAGTGCCAACCCTTGTAAAATCACCTCTCAGCCTCTCAGCATTCCAGTCATTGCAGACGCTTCGTTTGGGTCGGTCGCGTTTTGTCTCGCTTTCCTGGCGCTTGGCTTACACTTAGGTACTGTGGTAGTTGTTGGGCACAGGGAAGTATGAGTGCACTAGCAGACCGCATCAAGATTGCCAGGAATGCTGAAGGCTGGATTGAGTTGCTAGAACGGTTCAACTGATGACTGTTGTATAGTCACGTGTCTCTTCATCTCAACTGTCACATCCGACCTACGTAGCAAATGCTCGACTGCAGGCATTGACATCCAGCTCTCCGTGCAGCACTTGATGAACTGTGGAACCGCTGGTACCTGCAAAGGCGCAGGGTCGGCTTATGTCGGCTTGTTTTGCGGCAGTTTGTTTTGTTTGGGAGTGTGGAGAGTCTGATTTGTCGCGTATTTTTTGTTTGTGCAGAGTCATGCTTGCCACTCCATGTGTGTACTCAATATTACTCAATTATCCCCGTTGCTGCTGACAATCTAACAGGTGTGGTCGAGCGTGTTAATGAATTTTTTTACGTGATACATTTAGCATGAGAAAACCATAAGAGAACCATGCAATTTGTATCATTTTGTCTTAAGGAAACGGTGAGATTTACTTCACATGAACACAAACGGCAAATGTTCAGTGCCACGCAATATGTTTGTGTGTGTGGTTTTCTTGATCACCTTCACAACAGCCGCATTATACATTCCAATTTCTATGTGAGAAGTGGTCAGCAGTCATCAAACCAGGTCAAACAAATGTTCACAACATGTTCCAACATACAGTATTTCGTATAAAATATGCCTAGTGACATGACATTCAGTCCTGTTGTCACTTTATATTCACTAAAACCTCCAATGTCCTCGAATGTGTTTTTTGCGCAGCCATGAAAACGTCATGTTGAAAATGTTGTTTTGTTTAAGCGGAGTCTTTTGGATTACGTTTGCAAACACAATCTAGTGCTGAAGCATGTTGAAGCCTAACGCAAAAAATAACCGCAAAAATGTCCAGCAAGTGTGCAATCACCCACAAATTTCAACAACCGGTCGATAGAATCTAAGGCCGGCTGTTTCACAAGAATGCAAATATGTGACACAAAAATCAAAAAACAGTTTCTCTGGACAGAGGCAGCAAACTTCCTTAATAAGTTTGATCAGATTCGATGAAAACATTATTAAATTCTTCCTATTTTGGAAAATAGTAAGAAGTTTGACTTTGGCGTAGTCCACCGACGCGATGATAGTGCCAGGTTCAGACTCCTCATCAGAAAGAAATTTAGAACATGTCCTGCCCCCTCCCTCCCTCCCTCCCTCCCTCCCTCCCCTCCCTCCCTCCCTCCCTCCCTCCCTCCCTCC